TTTTTTTTTTTTTTAAAAAATCAAAAAAATTGAGGGTCAATAAAATAGGGACAAATGTTTTGCACTGAAACCTTGTAAAGTTTAAATAAGAATGTCTCACGTAATTGATTTAGATTCAGTACTCCCGTCTACCCCAGAGCTTTTCACTTCTGTGGCATTCCAGCTGTTTCTAGCTGGCTCCTCCATGACTGACCACCTGAGGCACAGCCGTCAGTCAGTACTTAATTTAGGCTGGTACAGCCAGGCAAACAGTTGAACTGGAATCACTTCATGGTAACCATTACCTGTGAGGGTGACATGATTAAGCAGCCAGATGAATTCATCTGACAGCTACCTTGACAGCAGGAGACCTTTAACAGCTGCTAGAATACAGCACTGGTTTCCCAATTCAATCTTTTCGGGCTGCCACCACTGCCAAAATTAAAGATCCACTTTCAAGAAGTCATATGCCTGACCCCTGCATCACATGAGCCCAAGAAAAACCCTAAGCTAATTAAGAAAATATGAACACATCTGTTAGTTTTTCACTTTATCATCAAGTGATGAAACCACATCAGAGACACCAGAGAAGGAAAATTGAAAGGATTACAGGACAACAATCACAGATCTGGTATCAAATTAAGAAAATGCATGCCCAGGAGGAAAACCAGTCCATTACAAAGTATGTCCTTTATTAGGTACAGCTAAAGCAAGACAGAACTAACAGTGCATCATCTAGGGCAAGAAAAAAAAAAAACAAACTTAAAACAATTTGTATAGGAAACAAAGTATTAGTCCATGAACACTAACATTTGCCCCCAGATCCTTAGTAAATTCCCAAGACACGTAAGGAAGTATGCAGAATGATGCTGCATTTCACCACAAGGTGATTTCTCCCCCATCCTTAACAGAATAAAAAAGTTTATACATGCATGTGCATAGTCTTCACAGGCTACAAAGCAGCTTAAAGATCACGAAGTTAATCAAATAAGGCACACCAAGGGGTATTATGGAAACAGAACAGTAACAAAACTGGCAACTCTATTTTCTTTTTTGAATAAGCGTTTCAAGCTAACTCTATTTCATAAAACATGAACAGGAGCAACATTCAGTAATATACTAAAATTTTAACAGTAGCTCCACAAATTGACCATAATTCAAGGTTTGAACTTCAGACACGTTTTTGCCAACGCAGACAAGAACTGCCGCAGTAGTGAAACAGCACGCTCTGAAATTTAAGAACATATCAGAACATTTTCAGATATGCCCACCCGAGTTTTGCGCAGGGCACGGGGGAGGGGGCGGGGGGAATCACAACAAACACACCAACACATCCTTGACTCATCTCCTCCCCTCGACCATATAGTCCCTCCGTGAGGAAAAGCAACCTGACGCCCGTT